AAAAAAAAAAAAAAAAAAAAAAAAAAGAAAGAAAAATGAAGAAGAAGATATTTTTCATGTTAATACTAACACTTTTTTAAAAGTTACAATACGTACGAGCTACGACGTTAACGTTTCATTACCAAATGGAACCATCGGGTCATCCAGAGCAGCTAAATATTATCGGCGTGTTATTTTTTTAATTTACTAAAAACTAACCTAGAAAATTATAATTTTAGTCAATTTTTTGGATAAAAAAAAAAGAGGACGAATCAATACATGACTTTGTTTTTAATGTGTCTATTTAATTTTAATAGATAGAACCAACCAATGAACCATCTAGTCTAGAAATAAATATATAAGTTCAATAGTGCTAATAATTTGGGTCAAACCTGAAGTATTATAAAATAACACAGCTGTCACAATACAATAAAAGGTTGAGTAACCTTAAATTATTAATAATTCAAAAGTCCTTTATTTTATTAAAAAAAATTGTTCGTCTCATTGTTTTTCTTTCATAAATGAACAGCTGTGTTTATTTAACAACAGGACAAAGGCTCATTGTCCCACACTCCCATATAATTTTGTTCTTACAAGCCTTTGACTAAAAATAAACCTTACAAATAACTTATTTTTTTTTTAATTAAATATTTAAGCAAGAAGCTTAAATTAGTTGTCATCTGGAATATTTAAGAAGCTTATAAGTGACATTTAAAAACTGAAATAAACATTGTCAATTGGAATCTAGATTTTTTCTTTCTTGATTTTTGATATTTAATTTGTTGAGATTTGCACACATGCCAATGTTGTAAAAGGAATAATACAGAAACAAACTCCGAATATAATGGCCAAGTTGATGAGTTCAATTTTAGGAGAAGAAAATGAAATAAAGTAGCAGCAGCACATGCAATTATTTCTAATTGCTAACTCGTGTAGAATTTATAAATCCCACTGTTTGGTATGCGCTATCCGAATTCGTTATACTTATCATTTTTGTTATTGAAATTTTCCTAACATAAAACATACTAGTGCGTAGCTCGTCGATACACGAATAAATAATATTAAATAATAATTATATATTAAAGATATAAGTAAATAATATTAAATCATAATTATAAATTAAAAGATTTGATAAATAATATTAAGTAATAATTACAAATTAAAATTATCGGGTTAACAAGTCATATAATTTACGTATGTCAATTTATTGTAAAACTCATAGATTATTTGATAAGTTTTATTAGATAGTTTTCAACAAAATTTTATTTCGGCCGACATTCCAAACATATTTATTATATCATGTAACTTTTTAACATTAAGCTATAAGCTATAAACGATCAACTACAAGTTCGAATTTCGCTTATAATTAGCTATCAACTAACTTATCAACTACAATATAATGTTCAACTAGATTTACTATATATAACAATAGTAATAAATTTCATAGCGTGTCAATATTATATACAAAATTGAGAAATATGGTATGTTGAGAGTTGGTTATAAATAAACATACTCCTTATAGTAGGTATCGTCAATGTTTCAAACTTGAATTTATTATTTGAAACTTCTTGTCTAGCAACACGCTTAGTAAATTAGTGAATAAATTATTAATCGCTCGGTTGTCTCGTATGCGAACAATGAAAGAACTTTTGTCTTATAAGTCATAACATACATTTTCATCGCTAGCGTTGTGCTGATAACGTGTTGTAAATAAGCCCACATATTATAAATAAGCTCACCTCACAATAGGGGTATCGTACATACGTCAAATTTAAGTTTGTTTTTGAAACTTTTAAAGTTTGTCTTTTGGAACTTTCGAACTTAAAGCGCGTTGTTATTAGATTAGAGATGAACTTAACTTATTATTGTTCACTGTTTTCGTGTGAGCGATATGAAAACTATTGGTTCACAACATAACTTGATTAATATATTATCCAAAGTATTTATTGTGTTAGTAATATTACATTAGTCACATTTTATAAACAAAATGACATTAATTTAGAATAAAAAATATTTAAACATCCAAACCCATTTTCATATAATTCAAACAAACAAAAGGAAAAAGGTATGAGACATAGATCCAACACAAAACTCCGTGACTCGGACCGGACCCACATTTTATTATCCAATATTAAATGTTAACAAAAAATTGAAAAAAAGACAACAATAAAACAATAAAATAAAATAAATAAAACGCGTGCCAATCGGCTTTCGTCTTCCCGCCGCACGCACTTTCTCTCTCTACAGCAAAACCCCCAAATTCCAAAGTCTCTCTCTCTCTAACCTTTCCACGAAAGCTCTCACAGCACGGCAACCAGAAAACACCCATAATAAACAAATCCCATCACGCCATTTTTTCAGCTCCCCCCGAATCAATCAAAAGCTCCCAGCTTTCTCTTTCCACTTCCCATTTTTCACCCATTTTTTTTCCTTAACTTTTTCGCCCCTTCTGAAGCCCGTCCTGTAGTAGTACATGTGTGAAAATGGCCGTGCACAAGAAGCAACACCACCAACACCATAGTTACATCTCCGTACCTTCACAGATCATTGGCTCCATCTCCCAATCGTCGCTGGATTCCCTTCTCCGGTCGCCGAGGAAGAACCACCACTCCCCGTGTTCCAAGCTCAGGACCTTCTTAAAATCCCCTAGGTTCCTCATCCTCTCGATTTTCGCCTTCGGCCTCCTGTGGACGTCCATGCTGTTGCTCGATTTCGACCCATCGGCTCCCTTCGCGCAGAGCCCATGTCCGGTTCGTGAGGAAATCGAATCGAAATCGAGTGGGGTTTTGGGTTTGGGTTCGTTTTCCGGCCGGAGTATCGTTGGAGACGGCGCCGGAATCGAGTTCTGGCGGCAGCCCGACGGGATGGGGTACAGGCCGTGTTTGGATTTTAGCAAACAGTACCGAAAGGAGAGTGTGGAGGTTTTGAAGGACAGGACTAAGTACCTGATGGTGGTGGTCTCTGGGGGTATGAACCAGCAGAGAAATCAGATTGTCGATGCCGTGGTTATCGCCCGAGTTCTCGGGGCAGCTTTGGTTGTGCCCATTTTGCAGGTCAATGTCATTTGGGGTGATGAAAGGTATGTGCTTATCAATTCTTGGTTTTTGTTCTTGCTGTAGCTTCTTCTTCTTCTTCTTCTTGTTTTTCTTGTTTTTTTTTTGTTTTTTATTTTTTTATTTTTTTTTTTGTGTGGATGGAATTAGATCGTGTTGTGGCCTATTGGATTGTGAATAGATCAAGTACTATTGATCCTTGTCGAGCTTCAGGAATAGTTTATGGGTTTAGTACGATTGTTGATTCAGATTGATTGTGAAATAGTTTTGGTCGAGTCGAGCGTGAACTGAGCTATGAGCATCTCGATTGATGTTTTTGGGTGAATTTAGCAGCATCTTGATCGATTATATGTTGTGGGCCTTGTGGCCATGTGGGTTGTGAATTAATCAAGGATTATTGAGCCTCATTGCGCTTCAGGAATAATAAATGGCTTTAGTTCGATTGCTGATTCTTATTGATGGCGAATGAGTTTTAGTCGAGTCGAGCGTGAAATGATCTATGAGTATCTTGATTGATGTTTTTGGCTGAATTTAGTATATTTTCCTCTAATCAAGTCGAGCTAGAACCATGCATTTCATTCTGTTGAACGGAAATGATTAGGAGTCAAAATTCCGATGTTTCCATTTGATGAATGCTGTGTGATTTCATAAACTTTAGTTTATTTTTTTGGATGAAATGATGGAGTTGTTTTGTATTGACTCGCTGCAGTGAATTTACTGATATATTCGATTTGGACCATTTCAAGAGTGTGTTGTCTGATGACGTGAGGGTAGTTTCTTCACTTCCCTCGACTCATTTGATGACGAGGCCGGTGGAGGAGAAGAGGACTCCCCTTCACGCATCTGCCGACTGGATTCGTTCGCATTATTCAAGAAAAGTAAGTAAATAATCTTTAACTTTTCGTGTTCTTGAGTAATTTATGTTTAGGTCGAGATGAACCCTTTCACTTAGAAAGCTTTCTTGTTTCTTGCTTCTTGATTTTTATGCCAAACCCCTTTTATTCT